GTCGACAGCTCAACGGTAGACGATGGGATAAAAGATCATCGAGATCGGCTTCGCTTTCCGCATCCATTGATGTAGGGTCTTGAGGCTTGCTGATGACAAAAAGGCAAAGTATAGGCAGACAGAGTACAAAATAGGTCAGCTATACATAAGTTGCATTCGTCTGTCATGTGTACCTTCACCGAAATCGTGAGTTAGGTAAATACTTTGTAAATTCGGCCTAACCCACATTATTGAACAGAGAGCGGTAAGAAAGATAGCATTAAAAGGTTTTGCAGAAAAGAAAATGCCCTAAACCTATAAAGGCTTCGCAATTGCGCGCATGTACTTTGTTGAAGAGATTTTTGCGTTCTGGCTAAACATCGCAAGCACTTGCGCAGTTACCGCTCTTCTAATCTTGCCGATGGTATAATTTGGAGGGCATAGATGCAGTACAAAGGGATGGGGTTGGTTGATTCAGCATCACATTACATTCCTCAGATAGAGTCGGGCAACGCGAAGATTGTCGAAGTGAAGGATGCGTGCGTGGGAGCTGACAGCAAACCCGAAGCAGACGATCTTAAAAGGACAATTCTCTTTGATCATTGGAGACGACGTCTTCGAGCAAGAGATTTTGTGGATCGTCTTTTAGAGAAGGAGGCGAAAGAGGCGAAGACAAGGCGAAGGAGATGCAGAGTAAACCCATCTCATTCAGCCCCACATCCTCCCCTACCACCACCTCCACCACTGCCACCACCAGCGCCATTACGAATGCACTTTGGTACTAAGATTGAAAACGGCTTAATGACAGAAGACCGCTTCTGCTGTGGTCGTCAAAAAGACGGATTAATTGACTTCTCTTCATCAGTTGGAGCCTCTGCTTCATCGACTTCGACTCCGACATTGTCGCTTCCTTTGACGTCACTCTCGTCCTTCAACACACTCCCTGCCTGGAATTGGCCCTCTCTGAACGGATCAACTAAAAATTTGTGCAGTTACTATCATGAAAACTGATTTGCAACGCATCGTCATGTAATAAACCACTCAGCTAATAAATCCCAACGTGAGTTTAATTGAGGGGTGGAGTAATGCTGCCCAAAAACTATGACCATTCACTTGATGTCAAAAGGTAAGGGAAAGTAGTTACAGTAGCCAAGCGTATAAACTTTTCAATTCTATTCGAAAGGCCTCCTGTAACAAAAAGCTCCTTCCGAAGGTAAGGGTGGCTAACATGGAAATTCATTTGTATGCCTCTATCTTCAAATCCGAACCTCCTGAATGTCTTACATTATAAATGGATTGTTTTGAGAGGATTTATTTGACTCCGTTTAATAACTGTTAAAAAGATATTTTTTTTGAATTTCGGATGTTTTGCTTCTAAAATTAAGAAAAAGGAGTTCTCAAGCGGATATCGGCTGGTGTGGTTTAATAGAAGAAGGAAAAATTTAAGGTTTATTTAGTGGCTGGCCTCTAAATTGCCTAATTTTGAGGTCCAAAAAAATCAATTAGGAAAAGTGTCAACTTTGACGCCGCATCCCTTCCAGAAGCTACGCAGTCGAATTGGTGACAAAAGTTGAGCCTTCATCACGAAATTGGCAATCTGAGACCACCTTTATGAAGTCCGTTTGGCCATCATTTTGTAATAAGTGAGTATAAAGCAGGAAGGACTCAGTAGAGGACACAACAGTTGAGATGAGATGGCTGAAGCTGAAAGACAATCGAGTAATTACGAGATCAGCAGCAACCTAGTTGTCGGAGCTTGTGTAACGTTTGATATTTTACGTTAGATAGTAGAAGGCATTACGCAGCACTGAATACTTGTATTCAGGGCGAATGGAGAGGAGGATGGACTTTGACGTGGCCTGAAGAGTAAGGCGAACTTTAAATTGACGGTTAAAACAAAACAAGGCGTTACACTCAGTATACTGTTCGCACCAGTGTCCACAACCCATTCAATGCTGTAAGTATGCATTTACGAGACAGTCGCGGTAGTCGTCAGCTACCATTAAACTGGAGGCATGTACTTCATACTCTCAATGGCCTCGAATGGATCTGGGGTTGGGTTCGACCTAAAAAAAACAAAATTAAAGATGGAATTTCTGTTGATTATTAATTGCTTTCAGGACCAGATTTGGAAACTCTGACCTACAACAACTTCATAACTGAGAATACGGGATCAAACGCAGTGTGATGTGGAGAGGACTTAAGTGCAATGCCATCTCCATCACTTATATGCGGATGTGGGTTTAGGACACTACAAACAAAAATTCCTTTTTAATACCTTGTCTGTGGAAGATGGGATTTTGTCCACCTCATCCACCACAGAAGTTCATCAGAAATGGTGGCGACCAGGACAGAAGTAACACTTCCAAATTGGTCGAAGACGGCTGAACACTTTTTATATAGGAAGAAGAGGATGAGATTGAACTTTGAATTGGCCCTAAGGCCAGTCTACGCTGGCAAGAGCAAGATGATTACCGAGGTGACAGACAGCCATACAAATAGACAAGAAAGCAAGACATTACAGTTTGCGCTATGGGTCTGACGACTTCTCCAAAGGCGAGGAAAGAAGACAATATACTTTACCGAGAAAGTATGGATTTGGTGTTCGAGACCAACGACTTGCTCTTGAAGTCAGCCCATTTGATTAAGACTAAAACCATATTGCCTTATCCATCGTCACGCACAAGCTACACTTAAAGCGCCTAACAGTCAAATGTCGCATACACAGGGAAATGCATGACTTAATTTTTTCCTTTTAACCTCAAAACTCCTAGACCACCCATTCGATCGACAAAAAAACTCTCACCAAATAGAATTAAATAAAGTGTAGACGACTTTCTAATTACCCGATTAAAGGCAAACCAATTTTATAATGAAACTCCCATTAAATAGCCTTAGAAGAGATGTGAAAGGTTGGTATTGCTGTCTAAATCCTGCCTAGGCCCAAGAACATTTAACCTTGCCGTAAAAGACTGAAGGAAAGCACTTTAGCGTTTTATCTTTCAATAATGTGATCAAATAGGAGATATGAAATTCTCTTGTACCAAAAAATTGGAAAAAAATTTTAGCACGAACAAGTCAACAGAGTACTAAAAGCACAGCCAGGCTTTATTAACTACTTTTGAGAACCATGAAATGATTTTTAAAATAGAGAAGGATTGCTGCCCCCCATGAAGTTGGGTCC